TTCGAAAACATGCAAATGTGAGTAGATCAATAGGTACTGCTTCTGCTGGAAGGTAACGACGCTCCATGCAGTCATGCTGGCCACATGACCTTGGAGGTGTCTGAGGACAACGCCGGCTCTTCGGTTTAGAAAGGGAGATGAGCACCACACCCCAGAGTCAGACATGACTGGACTTAATGTCAGGGGACAACCTTTACCTTTAACCTTGTTATGTATATAATAATAATAATAATAATAATAATAATAATAATAATAATAATAATAAATTTCATGTTGGTGACACAGTTTTTAGGCATGTATAATGTTGCAGCACAGTAATTCAGTTTAACTAGAAACCAGAGGTTAAACCAATCCCTTATGAGAGATGTGGATACGTGTATAAGGTGTAATAATGAAATGTATGGGGACAGAACATACATTATGAAAACCTTTCATTCATTGGTTATTTCCCATAGACTCAGAGGTGCCTCATTTTGTTCATGTGACACTCTTATACATAGCAGCCAATACATTAACATGCTGTGACACACAGTTTGGAAAGCTCTGTGCAAGAAGTATGATGCTTGCTGAACCCACATACCTTAACTATGCAGAATCCCTGAATGGACAAGCTTTCAAGATAAAGAAGTCAATGGAATTTTCGTTAGAACAATGCAGAACAACCATTATTACCACCGCCAGATCTTATGGTCATTGTGCAAATGTTGACAAAACTCCTAAAGAGCTTACCAAATTACGTTGAGTTGGAATTGCAGCTAAGAGACCAGGCAATGGCAAGAAAGGAGCAAGCTGTGTGATTTAAAGTTCTCTGACAGACCACTTGCTTTTATACCTGGTAACTTCAGGACTTCTAATGGAAACGGAGCAGCCCATCCGTGCACACTACTGAACCTCATGGATCGATTCATTAACTTGGTATTTATCTATTATTTAAAGTATCAATATGTATATATCATCTTCTCGTATGAAAGGGCTCCTGAAGGTTTTGATGTCTGCTTGGCGATGGACACCGACTGAATGACCATGGACAAGTTGTCTTGTCATACTAAAGCTCATGTATCTTTTGATTGTTTTCACAGTATTTGTAAAAACGTCTTGTTTGGATTCTGTTGGGAGAAAGCACTTATTTAGAACTAATTGTGCCATTTATTTCCTGCATTTGTTGGAGGAGAGAGTAGTTGAGTTATTCAGTTGTAGCAAAAATAGAGAAATTGAGAATTGAGTGGCACCTTTAATGAGCAGGGTGTGTTCGTGAAGTTGGATGCAGGACATAAAATGTTCATGAAAGAAAACCTGTCATGTCTTTGAGGTAACACAAGAGTCTTTTTATTCTTGAAATACCTCTGCATGTGTTGTTGAAGGCTTTCATAACCTGAATCACTGAGTTGCTGTACATTTTCAAGGCTGTAAGGCCATGTTCCAGAAGCATTCTCTCCTGATGTTTTGCCCACATCCATGACAGTCATCTTCAGAGGTTGTGAGATCTGTTGGAAACTAGGCAAGTGATGTTTATATATCTGTGGAATGTCCAGGGTGAGAGAAAGAATTTTGTGTGTTTGGGACAGGTTTGAATATTGCAATTGGCCACCTTGATTAGCATTTAATGGCCTTGTAGCTTCAAAGCCTGGCTGCTTCCTGCCTGGAGATATCCTTTGTTGGGAGGTGTTAGTTTCCAACAGACCTCACATCCTCTGAGGATGCCTGCCATAGATGTGGGTAAAACCTCAGAAGAGAATGCTTCTGGAATATGGCCATACAGTCCAGAAAACTCACAGCAACCTCTGCATGTGTGTGTTTTTTTTATTCTAGCTTTTGTATTGCATAAGATTTTTGCCTACCATGTGATGAGTTTCTTTACATTAAAAAGACGTGTAATTTCATTTCTGGCTTTGGAAATACGCTGCTTAATTGCATAGCCGATGTTCTCTTGAGACTTGTGATTTTGTATCAAACACGGTTTTTCCACAACTTGTCAAACTATCTTGTTTAAAACTTGTTGTTTTCTTGTTATGGAAGTGTAAAGTTACATTAATAGATTGAAATGTTATGACAAGAAACAGTATTTCAAGATGTCAAACATGGGTGTATTTACAGCTTTTCGCACATTAGTAAGCAAACCTCCCTCAATAATAAAGGTAAAGGTTTCCCCTTGACATTAAGTCTAGTCCTCTCCGATTCTGGGGGGTGGTGCTCATCTTCATTTCTAAACTGAAGAGCTGGCGTTGTTTATAGGCTCCTCCAAGGTCATGTGGCTGGCATGACTGCATGGAGCGCCATTACTTTCCTGCCGGAGTGGTACCTATTCATCTACTCATATTTGCATGTTTTCGAACTGCTAGGTTGGCAGAAGCTGCGGCTAACACTGGGAGCTCACCCCGCTCCCTGGATTTGAATTGCCAACCTTTTGGTCGGCAAGTCCGGCAGCTCAGCGGTTTAACCTCCTACACCACCAGGGGTATTATTACAAATGTGTACTGTATATTTAAATTTGCTGCTTCAATTCCTTGGTATAATGTTATTTTTTTCTAAGTAAATATATTGCTCAGGTGCTGTTCATTTAGTGATATCATTCCATAAATGAGAATTTCTCTAACCCAGTGTTTCTCAACCTGGGAGTCGAGACCCCTGGGAGGTCACAAGGGGGTGCCGGAGGGATCGCCAAAGATCATCAGAAAACATAGTCATGGGGGTTCTGTGCAGGAAGTTTGGTTCAATTCCATCGTTGGTGGGGTTCAGAATGCTCTTTGATTGTAGGTGACCTATAAATCCTAGAAACTACAACTCCCAAATGTTAAGTCTGCTTTCCCCAAACTGCACTAGTGTTCACATTAGGATTTGTACCAAATTTGTGCCAAGTTTGGTACAGATCTATCATTGTTCGAGTCCACAGTGCTCTCTGGATGTAGGTGAATTACAACTCCAAAACTCAAGGTCAATATGTACCAAACCCTTCCAGTATTTTGTGTTGATTATGGAAGATCTGTGTGCCAAGTTTGGTTCAATTCCATCATTGGTGGAGTTCAGAATGCTCCTTGTATTATAGGTGAACTATAAATCCCAACCACTAGAACTCCCAAATGACAAAATCATTTCCCCCCTCCAACACCACCAGTATTCAAATTTGGGCATATTGGGTATTTGTGCCAAACTTGGTCCACTGAATGAAAATACATCCTGCGTATCAGATATTTACATGACAATTCATAACAGTAGCAAAATTACAGTTATGAATTAGCAACGAAAATAATTTTATGGTTGAGGGTCACCACAACATGAGGAACTGTATGAAGGGGTCACAGCATTAGGAAGGTGGAGAACAACTGCTCTAACCAGAGAAGGATGCTTTAACTAATAATAGTTCAGGTTGACAGCCTGAATTTCCAAAGGCAACAGATCCTCTCTGATCACGGAAACTAAGAATGATCAGCCCTAGTTAGTTCAGAGATGGGAGACTGCCAGCCAGGCTATATGTCAGCTTAGAAGCTGTAAGCTAAATTTCTGAGGAAGGAATGGGCAAAGCAACCCAAGTTTTCCTTGCCTAAGAAAACTATGAAATTCATGGGGTCACCATAAACTAACTGGCAGTTTAAAGGCACGTATACACAACAATTCAGGTTTGTGCTACAGTAATTCTGACAACTTTGGGATAGAATGTATAGATTAAACTTCTCTGTGTTTACGTTAGGTCTATTGCAATGCATCCCTGAAGCTTGTCACTTAAGTATCTAAATCTATAGTATTTAAGTCATGAGCTTAATAGGTTGGATGACATTTCTGATCAAGTGGGTCTGGTTACAGGAATGTGTTCATTGATATAGTTTCATGCTAAACCAATGAAATGAGCTTAATGATGATTAGCAGTAAGAAAAATCTCCCCATCTTTCTTTCGTGGACATGCCTACTTGTGAAATTTGTCCACAGAATTAGATCTAAATGCTGCTGTTTTGACTAGGCAACATTTGTGACTTTCTGTTGACATAACCAGATGGTATGAAGTTAGGGTTTTGTCTCCGGATTTCAACTATTATTATCCTGTTGCAAAATAATTCTATACAGCTGCTGCTTTCTTGTTTCTGCTTAACAGTCTTAGGGCCCTTCCACACAGCCATATAACCCAGAATATCAAGGCAAATAATCTGTAATATCTGCTTTGAACTGGGTTATTTGAGTCCACACTGCAATATATTCCAGTTCAAAGCAGATAATACGGGATTAGACCCCTTCCACACAGCTGTATAAAATCCACATTGAAATGGATTATATCGCAGTGTGGACTCAGATAACCCACTTCAAAGCAGATATTGTGAATTATCTGCCTTGATATTCTGGGTTATATGACTATGTGGAAAAGCCCTTAGTCTAGCAGACCCAGAATGCTTATTTGGTTGCCTGTCTTTAGTTTCCATCATATCAAATGAAGACAGATTCTAATTGAGTGAACTGCTTTGTTAATGTAATGCCAAAGTTTTAATGGCTGGAATCACTGGGGTGCTGTGTGGTTTCTGGGCTATGATCATGTTCTAGCAGCATTTTCTCCTGACATTTCACCTGCATCTGTGGCTGGCATCTGCAGAGGATCTGATGGTAGTAACGCAAACGGAGTATATATACCTGTGCAATGTCCAGGGTGAGAGAAAAGAACCATTGTCAAACAAGTATGAAGGGTGCAAAGAGCAAACTAGATTTGTCTGCGTTGAGTGAGATCCATCCATTAGCATGTGAGTAACTGTGAAGATGGCATCCTTGAAGTGACTGGACTGACCTTGAGGGAGCTGGGGGTGGTAACGGCCGACAGGGAGCTCTGGCGTGGGCTGGTCCATGAGGTCACGAAGAGTCGGAGACGACTGAACGAATGAACAACAACCGTGAAGATAGCATAGCTGATTAGTGAGGGCAACTGCATTGTGAATGAAAGCTCCCTTAAACACTACTTTTATTTAATAAAAAGACAGACTGTTAATACTTGAGGTAAATGCAATGAAATCACCTTTGTATTCTAGCAGAGATGAACACAGAAGCAGAACAAGAGCTTCTCCATAATGCAAGAAATGGAAAGAGTGAAGACATCCGACAACTTTTGGAAGCTATGGAGAAGGGAGAGATTACTTTTAACATCAACTGCAAAGGTTGGTACAGAATATCTCTCAAGTAATATCTGTAAAATGGAAAAAAATGTGGAACCTGCATCCAAGGAAGGCGAGATTGGCTACTTCCTTACTTTGGTTTTGATGAGTTGTAAATATTGATCTTTTCTATCTCGCTATTTAATTTGATGGAATGCTCCATTGCTATATAATAGTGAATTCGGAAACTAGGACCCATGCACAGATGGAGATTCAGGCCCCTTCCACACAGCTCAATAAAATCGCACGTTTTCTGCTTTGAACAGGAATATATGGCAGTGCGGACTCAGATAACCTAGTTCAAAGCAGATATTGTGAGATTTTCTGCCTTGATATTCTGGCTTACATGGCTGTGTGAAAGGGCCCTGAGTCTCCTGAACTTTAAAACAATCTGAAATAACATCATTCCAATCTCTAGGTCAGAGTTTTCCAAACATTTTGTGTTGGTGACACACCTTTTTAGACATGCATCATTTCACAACACAGTAATTCAGTTTCACTAGCAAACCAGAGGTTAAACCAACTTCTTGTAAGAGATACAGAAACATACATACATTGTAATAATTAGATTTATGGAGACGCAACATATCTCATGAAAGCCCCTCATTTACTTTTTTTTAAATTTATGATTTTTTTGTTATTTCACATAGACTCAGAGGTTTCTCCTTACATTTGCATGACATGCCTACACATTGCAGCTGATAAACTAACATGCTATGACACAACGGTTTGGAAAACTCTGCTCTAGGGCATGAGGGAGCAAATTATGACTTGTACTCCACTTGTTATCCTAGGGCCCCATGTCTGTATCCTCTGAAAACTTCAGTAATCCCTATGCCCTCCAAATACTTTAAATAATTTTTGATGTGTTTTGGTGCAATTTTTGTACTTGCCTTTCCACATGGGTGAAATTACATGGAAATGGAGCCCCCGGTAGCACAGTGGGTTAAATTCTTGTGCCAGAAGGAGTGCTGGCCGAAAGGTTGGCAGTTTGAATCTGGGGTGTGGGGTGAGCTCCCATCTGTCAGCTCCAACTTCCCATGTGGGAACATGAGATTAGCCTCCCACAGGATTGGTAACAGAACCTGGGCATTCCCTGGGCAATGTCCTTGCAGATGGCTAATTCTCTCACACCAGAAGCGACTTGCAATTTTTCAAGCCACTCCTGACACGGAAAAAAACCCCATGGAAATGTTCCCCATCCCCACAAGTATTTTAGGTGTACTTGTGGTTGTTTGCCTTAAAGTTCTTATGGCAACCCTAAGATGAAACCTATCACATTTTTTTGGCAAAATTTGTTCAGTGGGGTGAGTTGCCTTTGCTTTTCTCTAAGGTTGAGAAGGGTGACTTCCCCAAGATCATTCGGTGGGGCTTTGTGACTGAGTTGGGATTTGAACCCTGCTCTCTCTAGAGTTGTAGTCAGCTGCATCTTGTGAAATACCTCATTATCCCCAATATCACAGTTTTCCTTTTCATTCCTTTTCAAACTAGCAAGAGAAATATTTTCTGTCACGATTTTGAGGGGGGCTAGAGATGGAAGCAGGATTGTTTTGAGGGTGTGTGACTCATTGGGAGGGAAGTGATCTGGGAGAAAACATGGTTTGACATGATTTGGGTTCAAAAAATTGCTCCAAAACATGTCAAAATTATTTGTGGGCTGGCTTTGAGGGATTGGTTCTGAACTCTAAGCAGTTGTCAACCCTTTCTTTGGAGTGCGAATAGGCAATTATATCAATTCTTCAAGACCTAAGAGAGGTTTTTCCCTTCAAACTCTGAATGTCATTTTTTTGGTTTTGGGAAAGGGTCCCTTTGTGGACCTAAAACATTGCAAAATAATGATCTCCCACATCCACAGTATTCAGTAAAAGAAAAACATGTGGGTGAGGGTTACAGAAAGAGGCGCAGGTCTCTGAGGCTTGACCGACGCCTGGACATTGTCCACTCCTTGCTGTACAATGTTAGTCCTCACTTTACTCAGTGTTATTATTTTCTTTGCTCTGGTGTTCCTTGTGTATCTTTGTCTTCTAAGAAAGATTTTAATCACCATGCCATTTGACATCACCCTCAATGTCTGGTAGGGAAGTTGTGCTGCTTTTACACTTAATAAGAAATAAACTTGGAAGTCTGCTCTTCTGGAAATGACCTGCAAAAGTAGCCCTTAGGCAACACTTGGGTGAATTGCAACATGTAACAATGTTGACATATAGCTAGTATGTGAAATAAAGAAGGCCAGATAGAGCACAGTTTGTGGGAAGCAGCTTATTTGGAGAAAATCATAGACTAACAGCAAGTTGAACTGCCAACATTACTGTGCTATTACCAAAATTATGAAGTATGGCGTAAAGAAACCAATGCCTAGATTGTGACCTACTTCCTCTCAAACGCAAAGTAAACATGACTGTTTTCACCCAACTCTGTTCTCCTGTGTCCTCACAAAGATCTAGTAAATCCTTCCCTATCCTGTCCCCTTAAGTATTTGAAATACTTCTGTTGCTAAAAGCCTAAGAATGTATTGCTGAAGAAAAGATTTTAAACATAAAAGCAACAATTCAGAATACGAAAATAATCAAGATGTATGTCATCAAAATATGTTACTTTATCCAACATGAGGGTCCATGTTATTAGAACAGTTAAAAGAAATCAATAGTGTTTCTATCTCACATTATAGCAGTAATTCTGTGAGACAGAAATTGAAAGACAGGCTTTATCAACCTGGGGTACATCTATATTGTAGAATTAATACAGTTTGGCACTACTTTAACTGCCATGGTTCAGTCATGGGAATTGTAGTTTGGTGAGACTCCCACACATTTTGGCTGGAAAGTTAAAGACTTTGTAAAACAACACTACCCATAATTTCGTAGCCTATCTTCGTGACTGCATCTCCCCCTATGAACCGGTGCGGGCTCTAAGATCTGCCGGGGAGGCCCTCTCGCTCCCCCCTCCATCTTTGGGGTGGTTGGTGGGGACAAGGGAGAGAGCCTTCTCAGTGGTGCCCCCCCTGGTTCTGGAATACCTCCCCAGTGACAAGCCCCTACCCTACAACACTTTAGGAAAGAGTTAAAAACTTGGTTTATCCAGCAGGCATTTGATAATGTTTACAGACAGTAACCAGAACTGGTTGCCAATCACCTAGCACTTTACATTCTGTACATTCAGCTGGGCTGCTATATTGATTACATGGATCTGATTCTATTTGTAATAGAGGTTATTTTATCCCATTTATATGCCTGGTTTATGTAATGCATTGTTGTTTTCATGTTGATGTGTTTTATTTTATGTATTACTAGCCGTCCTCTGCCTTGTGTTGCTGTGGCCCAGTCTGTGTATATGTGTGTGTTTGTGTGTGTGTGTGTGTGTGTGTGTGTGTGTGTGTGTGTATGTGTATGTGTGTGTGTATATATATATATATATATATATATATATATATATATATTTGCACATGTGTTGTAATGTATTGTTTTACTTTTTGGCTTTTTAAGTCTCTTCCACTGTGCTTTTCAGTGGTTTTATGAGTGATGGTCACTTGTTGGCCTGATAGGTGTATTGTGTCCAAATTTGGTGTCAATTCATCCAGTGGTTTTTGAGTTATGTCAATCCCACAAATGAACATTAAATTTTTATTTATGTAGATGTATTTTATGTATGGCATCTTTGTGTGCTATTTTCTAAGTTGACCCAAGTCCCTAAGGGAGATGGTGGTGGAGTATAAATAAAGTATTATTATTATTATTATTATTATTATTATTATTGCTACTACTACTACTACTACTGCTACTGCTACTACCACTAGTACTGTAGAGCCATGACAGTTAAAGTGGTATCAAATAGCATTAAGTCTACTTGTAGGTGTATTCCTAATGTCGCCAGATACTGGTTGATAATGATGGAAGTTGTGGTCCTGAAGATACTGAACAGGTTGAGTGTGCAAATTGAGAAATCTAGCATTACACCAGCTTGTTCTCAAGAGGAGCGGAAATACTGTTCCTATCAAATATCCTAAACCGATTCCCTGCATAATTGTTAAAATTCTTTTGTCATTTTCCTGCTCTTGCCTACATGAAAACAATGATTCAGTATTGAAGTGTTACCTTTCGTCTTTTACCTTCTAGGCACAAGTAAATCAAACTTGGGCTGGACTCCGCTTCATCTTGCATGCTATTTTGGGCATACCAGTGTTGTCAAGGATTTGCTGAAGGTATCACCTTTAACTTAGTACTTTCTCCATTATACATCTGCATAGTCAAGAGCACTTGTTCAATTGAAGGTTCCTCAGCACTTATCCTAGAGCTGTAAAATGAATGCTTAGTCAAAAATGTATGGAAGTTTTGGGACTATTGCAGCCTTTGTGCCATTGCAGACATCTGGAATCGGCTTCAGGCTTCTTGCCTCTAAATTAGCATTCTGTATGCCAATGTTAATTCCTAAAACCACATAATCCAGTTAGTCCTGCTGGAAGTTTATCTCAATGTGACCTCTTTATAACCCTTCTGTGAAAATTTGATCCGGGGCCAATTGGAACGAACTGGATTAAAAGGTAGTGATGAGATAGACCGACACACTGAATCTTGACTTACACCGAAAAGCTTAGCGCCCAAATTAGCTTGCACTTGGCTATGAAGGCAATACCAGATAGGCATGGGAAGAGGAGATTAGTTAAACTGCTTTCCTTCTGAAAAGTTTTAATTCCAAGTGAGTGCCATGTGGAACAAATGCTTTTGTAACTAAATTTGCAATTTAGAAATGTTTAATTGTAGTCACTCTAAAACTACCTCACACCATCCCCTTTAAAGCAGGTTCCAAATTGGAAGAAAACTCAATTGAAACTTGCTCAGTTGAATTGTATGAAAAGTCAGAAAGTAGATCTCCAATGGAAGTCCAACTTATTTCTATCAGCATTTCATTTTGGTTACTCTAGCTTCTAATCAAGGTGAAAGAAGAAAGTGGAAAAGCAGGGTTGCAGCTAAACATCAAAAAAACCAAGATTATGGCAACAAGAATGCTTGACAACTGGGAAATAAAGTGAGAAAATGTGGAGGCCATGACAGGCTTTGTATTTCTAGGTGCAAAGATTACTGCAGACGCAGATTGCAGCCAGGAAATCAGGAGACGCTTACTGCTTGGGAGGAGAGCAATGTCCAATCTCGATGAAATAGTGAAGAGTAGAGACATCACACTGGCAACGAAGATCCACAGAGTCAAAGCAATGGTATTCCCCATAGTCACCTACGGATGTGAGAGCTGGACCTTAGGGAAGGCTGAGTGAAGGAAGATAGATGCTTTTGAACTGTGGTGTTGGAGGAAAGTTCTGAGAGTGCCTTGGACTGCAAGAAGATCCAACCAGTCCATACTTCAGGAAATAAAGCCCAACTGCTCATTGGAGGGAAGGATAGTTGAGGCAAAGATGAAGTACTTTGGCCACATCATGAGAAGAAAGGAAAGCTTAGAGAAGACAATTATGCTGGGGAAAATGGAAAAGGAAGAGGGGCCGACCAAGGGCAAGATGAATGGGATCCTTGAAGTGACTGGCTTGACCTTGAAGGAGCTGGGGGTGGTGACGGCCGACAGGGAGCTCTGGTGTTGGCTGGTCCATGAGGTCACAAAGAGTCAGAAACGAATGAACAACAACAAACAACAACTGTAGCTTTAGAATAACAAAAGGCCTACTTTGCCTAAGATGGCTTTCTGGAGGAGGATTGAAACAATAGGTCTCCTGGTGTGCATTTACAATATAGAATTAATGTAGGTTGACATCACCATTAACAACCATTTATTGATTTATCATATCAGAAATGAATTGAGGGCACAGTTATGTTGTATTTAAAAACTTGGCATTATACTAAATGTCCTTTGACCAGAAGCTGGCCACTTGAAGTGCTTCTGTTGCCACTGTAAGAAGTGGCAACAGAATATAATTTAGATTAATGTGTAATTATGGCTTGTTGATGTACTGTGTGTTTTTGTAAACTGTTTTTATATGTTGTACACCGCCGCGAGTCGCCCTAGGGCTGAGAGCGGCGGTCAACAAATGCATTAAATAAAATAAAATAAATAAATAAGGTCCTCCATTGTGTATGTCGCAGGGCATTGTAGGAGGTGGACTGTGGTTTGCTCTTCTCCACACTCACATGTCGTGGGCTCTACTTTGTAGTCCCATTTCTGAAGATTGGCTCTGCATCTCGTGGTTCCAGAGTGCAGTCTGTTCAGCACCTTCCAAGTTGCCCAGTCTTCTATGTGCCCAGGAGGGAGTCTCTAACTCAGTATCAGCCATGGCTTGAGGTTCCAGGTTTTAGCCTGCCACTTTTGTACTCTCACTTGCTGAGGTGTTCCTGCGAGTATCTCTGTAGATCTTAGAAATCTATTTCTTGATTTTAAGGCGTTGGCGTGCTGGCTGATATCCGAACAGAGGATGGGCCGGATTTGTCACTGCCTTGGTCCTTTCTTTATTGGCTGCTACTTCCTGGCAGATGTCTAGTGGTGCAATACCAGATAAACAGTATAATTTAACTGCAATGAAACAATACTATACAATTATGGGAGTTTCAGAAGTTCTCTAGCCCTATCTGACAAAGAGTGCTAGTGTTTCATCAAACTAGAAATCCCAGAATTCCATAGCATTGAGTCATGGCAGTTAAGGTGGTATCAAACTGCATTATTTCTACAGTGTAGATGCAGCCTAAGTGATTGATCTATGCCAGTCACATTTTGGTACCATATTGATGTGGATACTAAATATTACTGAACAATCTCTCTTTATAGGCTGGTGCTGATGTAGATGTGCTAAATGATATGGGAGACACTCCATTGCACCGTGCAGCCTTCACTGGGCGCAAGGTAAAAAGGAACGTGTTTCGTCTAGTATATAGACTTGAACTCAGTGGAACACTATTTGTCCCTATGACCTTTTCTGCATTGCTATAGATAACATATTGGTTTCTATCTTCCTGCCTGAAAGCTTTTTGTGTGTTATGTTGTCAAAATGTATTCCAGTTAATCTTGATATGACATTCTTTTTCCAATATGATCGTTTTTAGAGAGAGAGAGAGAGAGCGGTTATATTCTTTCAATATTAAAAGAAAGAAAGATGTATGTGGCCTCCTTAAAAATAACCAATTTATGTCAACATAAGCTTTTGTGGACTAGTTTATTTCTTTAGATCAATCAATCGATCAGTCACTTTATAGCCTGCACTTTCCTCAAGAGTGGGATTTAGGATGCATAAAATGAAAGCTTACAGTGAAATAAATTGGGTTAGTCTTAAAAATGCCCCTAGAGGCTTTTCTTATTTCCAAAATGAATGTGTGAACAAAGGGAAAAAGGGAAAAGGGGGTGAGGGGGAGCTCTAATCTCGATAAAAGTAGAAAAGTCTCTATAGATAACGGATACTGAACTTGTTTTCCAGGAGGTGGTTCTACTACTTTTGGAATCGGATGCCGATCCTTCCATTGTTAATGGGAATGGGCAAACCGCAAAAGATGTTACGCACAATAAGGAAATACGAGAGATGCTAGAAGGTATCCATTCTGTACCAAATATGAACTTAAGAGAATTGGAATTCCAGTAACGATGCTCTTCAGCTGCAGTATCTAGCTTGACTGATCATTCAGTATGTAAAGTGATGATCTCTTATTCCTTGGATAATATTTTGAAAAGGTGACTAAATATTTATTCTTATTCAGAGAGGCTGCTTGAAATTGTGCCTGCATTGAATTTGTGTATGGACTGATTAGAGGCTGCTGTAAAACCTTTCTCTCTTAATACATTGTGATGGTGATAGAGAGTAAACTGCTCCCATAGTAAATCTCTGCATGACAATAGTTTGCTTATGGCTGTAGCTTGCAATAGTTTCCACACATCTGCTTGCTTGTATGGAATAGACTCACAGTTTAAATTCAGTGACAAAAAGGGGAAATCTATGCTGACAGAGTGATTGAGGATTAGATGATTAATATTAAAGAAATCTGGAAATGTAAAACTGAAAGTCCCACATTTGTTATTCACCAAGTAATCATGTTACTCACATATTAATCATGATTCACTAGTATGCATAAGGAAGATTAGAGTCATTTAACCGTGGCTCCACACAGACAAGAAAAAACATAATTAGATGATATTGCATGTCAACCAGCATCTCATTTAAACAGGTTGCTCTACCACACGGTCATCATTAGTGCTTTGGGGATTTTTGTATACTGTTGTTGCAATTGTAGACTGTAGAAGGAAATTATCAATTACCTTCTGTGATACAAGCTTGAAACCAGTGCCATTTTATATAGACATGTGTTTGCAGATAGCGAAATATAATATAACTTCGGTGGAGCTTACCAGATCAGACCCCCTGGTAGCGCAGCAGGTTAAACCGCTGAGCTGCTGAACTTGCTGACCGAAATGTTGGCGGTTTGAATCTGGGGGCAGGGTGATCTCTCGCTGTTAGCCCAGCTCCTGCCATCCTAGCAGTTTGAAAACATGCAAATGTGAGTACATCAATAGGTACCGCTTCTGTGGGAAGGTTACGGTGTTCCATGCAGTCATGCTGGCCGTATGACCTTGGAGGCATCTTTGGACAACGCCAGCTCTTTGGCTTAGAAATGAAGATGAGCACCACCCTCCAGAGTCAGACATGACTAGACTTAATGTCAGGGGAAACCTTTACCTTTACCTAATAATAATAATAATAATCTTTACTTATACCCCACCACCATCTTCCCAATGGGGACTCGGAGCGGCTTACATGGGGCCAAGCCCAGAAACATGTTACAGCAAAATAAGACCAAAACATAAACAACAAGCAACATCATCAAAATTACATAGACAAAACAAAAAAAAAGTATAAACACAGTAACAAAATAACATTCCAATAAACACAATCACGATAATACTAGATCAGACAGCCACAAAATTCCTTCATTCACAGTATGTTCTGTTTACACCATAAGATACATAGCATATTATCATGCACACAGACCCATATTAATGAAGCAATAAAAGTTAAGAATTAAACCAGTGAAATACAAAGGCACAAATAAAAATCACATATTTTGTTATTGAGACTAGGGATATTATGAGGTTCCTGACCTTATTCCACCACTTTCCGCACCAGTTGTAATATTCATTTCCCAACAGACTGAAGTGGGCAGGAGGTGACAGAAAGTTCTGAGTTTTGGAGTATTTCAGATTTCCAGCATTAGTATAGCATTCCCAGGTGTGAAAAGTGTATGATACCCAAAACCATTATTTTATTAATAGCTGAATATAATAAAACAGATCAGTCATTTAAAATGACTATTTCATTCTCATCCACACACTTCTCTACAAAAACTCTTAACTCGGGCCCCATCTACACTGGCATATGATCCAATATGAACTGCATTATAATGGTCAGCATAGACTCATATAATGCAGATTGAACTACATTGAACTGGATTATTTGAGTACACTGCTGTATAATCCAATTCAATTGCAGTTAATCTGCATCCTGAATCTGGATTATATGGCAGTGTAGATGCTAATTACCCCTTACTCTCAGCCTTCCATTCTATGTACATGTGGTTTATACCTAGGTATTTATTATCATTCTGTACTCATAGAGTCATAGAGTTGGAAGAGACCTTGTGGGCCATCTAGTCCAACCCGCTGCCAAGAAGTACTGCATCTAAAGAAATGGGTTTATATCCATGAAAGCTGATTTCTTTAACTTTTAAGATTGTGGCCAAATTTCATAGAATCATAGAATCATAGAGTTGGAAGAGACCTCATGGGCCATCCAGTCCAACCCCCTGCCAAGAAGCAGGAATATTGCATTCAAAGCACCCCTGACAGATTGCCATCCAGCCTCTGTTTAAAAGCTTCCAAAGAAGGAGCCTCCACCACACTCCGGGGTAGAGAGTTCCACTGCTGAACGGCTCTCACAGTCAGGAAGTTCTTTCTCATGTTCAGATGGAATCTCCTTTCTTGTAGTTTGAAGCCATTGTTCCGTGTCCTAGTCTCCAAGGCAGCAGAAAACAAGTTTGCCCCCTCCTCCCTGTGACTTCTTCTCACATATTTATACATGGTTGTCATATCTCTTCTCACCCTTCTCTTCTTTAAGCCACTCCTCATAGGGCTTGTTCTCCAGACCTTTGATCATTTTAGTCGCCCACATCTGGACACATTCCAGCTTTTCTGTTTTGTCTTCCCTACTCCTTTCTCCTCTTTATGCCACATAGGTTTAAGGCTCTGTTTCAGGATAGTGATGGTAATAATTGCTCAGTTCTGCATTTCCATGTGTTTTCAAATTTTAGTTGTCCCCAACATCTAAGTGAGATAGATCACGTTGGGATTTGTTACTGAATTTCTCTGTGTACGATGACAGATGCTAAATACACACATTAAAGATGCTTAAACATTATTTCAAGCTGTTCTTTGTGGCTAATGCATGCTGTATAAGATGTGGTTGTGAGGATAGATTGCATGTGTTGGGAGCCTGTTTCTTTGGCCATTATCTGGGCACAAGGGAACGGCAAATTCCGGCTGCCTGTCCAGATAAACAAAGATGCAGTGCAGTCTCTGCATGAAATTCCCAAAGCTGTGCTTACTGGGATCTTTCTTAACTGGCAACTCTGGGGACTGAATCAGGGGCTTTATGTACACAAAACAGATGCTCTCCCATTGAACTAGGCTTGGCCTACATTGTTCTGGAGTTTAAGAAGCTTCAAGATAGGGAAGATTAAATCTCTTATCTACAGCTGAAGAAAATGGAGGAATCTGCAAAAAAAAAATTCTCATTCTGCCATTGCAATTCAACAATAAAATGAACTTAATTGTAGTAGAATGTTACATTTAATCAATTCTTTGTATTTAGCTGTGGAAAGGACTCAAGAAAGAAAACTAGAGGAACTCCTCCTAGGAGCTGCACGAGAAGGCGAGATCGGAAAACTCACAGTGCTGGTATACATCATGTTACATTTATGTTCCTAAAATATAAAATAAGTGGTAATTGACAGATGTTAGTAGCTTAAATCTAAAGAGATGGGAGTCATGAAGGAGCGAGATCCCAGCTAATCGCTCTGGATATGATTCTTGCTTACAGTAAACAGTATTTGTATCACTCTCTCTAGTTAAACAGGTCAAATCCTCCTGACATCAATTGTACTGATCAGATGGGAAATACGCCATTACATTGTGCGGCATACCGTGCCCACAAGCACTGTGCTTTGAAGCTTCTAAAATGTGGAGCAGACGCTAAACTAAAGAACAAACGCGGTATGTGACACTGTTTCCTTTAATGAGCTCAAACATGCCTTTCATCTCAAAAGCAAAGAGAATGTGTGAACTGTAAACAGTTCCTTTAAAAATAAAATCCAGTTTTGTCTGTGTTTGTTCATGAACACTGTCAAGAATTTGCAAATTGGCCTTGTATTATAGAATTTTAATATGGATTTAAGTGCCCAGTGAATAACCACCAGATGCTGCCACAGATAAATACCCAGTAATCCTATTGTAGTTCTTGCAAAGCCCATATGCTCATCCCATTCTGACAACTGCTTTCTGATCTTGCTGAAAGGGATGCTGTTGCTTATCATATGCAAACGCAATGGTGGGAATCTTTCTAATGTTCAAAATTTGGCCTAATTTAATAAAGCTAACCGCCTTGAGTCGCCAACTGGCTGAGAAAGGCGGTATACAAATACAGTAAATACATAAAGTATTTTTAATTAAAATAGTCTAAGGGAAATTGCATGTAGAATGGCGCCTTGGACCTGGACAGCAGCCTTTGTTTTCCTTAAAGCATCAGACCTATTTGTGAAATGCAAGCGATATTGCTGTTTTTGGTGTAACCCATTGATTTTGATTCTGATTTGATGAAGCAAATCCATTTGTTCTGTTGGACAGGTCAGACACCCCTTGCTTTAGCTCAAGGGGCCGACATGAAGCAAATACTTGAAGGAGGCATTGGAAAAGTAAGTACATCAGTCTTTGTCAGGCATGGGCAAACTTCGGCCCTCCAGGTGTTTTGGACTTCAACTCCCATAATTCCCTATCAGCCGGTAGACTGCTAGGAATTGTGGGAGTTGAAGTCCAGAACACCTGGGGGGCTGGAGTTTGCCCATGCCTGGTCTTTGTGTTTAATATCACATTTGGTCCTCCCATTTGCTGGCATTAATTTTGCCAATTTGTTTATTCACAGATTTGGCTAATATGTTTTTTATTGTAATCTCTATATTCTTCATTATAACTCTGTGATCGATATTCCCTAAAAATTGACCATAGAGTTGCACTGATGGACCAAGACATTCCTAGGCATTTGTAGGTCTTCCAATATAGTTCTGTGGTCACCTTCTTTTTTAAAAAAAATATTTTTTTGATTTTTTGCTTGTACAGTGAAAGAGGGGGAACAATACTGTAGATAGAAAAGGTGGGAACAATTTAAGCAGGTATTGAGTGATGGGAAGAGTGAAGGATGGGTAACGGGACCAGGTGGGTAAGAGAGTTTGGGAGGGAGATGGGGTTGGGTAAAAGGGTCGGAAAGAGGGGGAAGAAAAAGTGTTAGACTCCCGTTCAGTCCACAGGGAAATAATCAACAGTTTTATTAATTCTTCTTATATCTGCATTGGTCTTAGTTCAATCTCCCACGTAGCACCTCAAATATCCAGTTTAACTTGTTTTCTTATGTATTCTCCAAAATGTTTCCAATTTGTTTGTTTCTCTCTGTTCCGTTCTTCTAATATTTGCGAGAGCTTGTCTAAATCTCTGAATTCTATCATCTTTTTAATCCAATCTTCAATTGATGGGGCTTCTTTGTTTTTCCACTTTTGTGCTATTAAAATTCTTGCCGCCGCCGACATGTAGAGAAAGATCCTTTCTTCATTTTTCTTAAAATCTAGGTCCATTATATTCAGTAGGTAATACTCCGACTTCATATCAAACTTGGTTTGGATTATGCTTTGGGCGTGCTTGTGTACCAGCCGCCAAAATTTTTGAATTTTCTTACACTCCCAGAATTGGTGGTAGTAGGTTCCCTTCTCTTTGTTGCATTTCCAGCAAGTTCCGTCGTGATTCTTATTAAATTTGGAAAGTTTTATTGGAGTTAGGTGCCATCTATAAAATACCTTATGCCAATTCTCAATTATATTTATGGCTCTTGTAAATTTTAGGCATGTTTTCCAGACTTGCTCCCAGTCTTTAAATAATATAGAATGTCCAATGTCTCTGGCCCACCTGGTCATATTTTCCTTTATAAGCTCTTTCTCGTTGTTCCATTCCAGTAGCTTTTGGTATAATATTTTGATCAGCTTCTTTTCTTTTTTCATTATTATGTCCCAGCACGTATCTTTATCATTAAATCCTACTTTTTGATCTATTTTAAAGCACTCTTTTATTTGTAGATAATAGAACCAACTTATTTCTTTGTCTTCTTTTTTGAGTTCTTCTAAAGGTTTCAAACACCACTCATTGTTGATCTTCACAAGTAGTTGTTTGTAGTTGAGCCATCTACTTCTCGGAATCTCCCTCCTATGGTATGCCTCCCCTGGTGATATCCATATTGGTGTTTTTTGATAGAAAAAATTCTTATATTTATTCCAGGTCTTTAATAGGGATGATCTTACATAATGATTAGTAAAGTTTTTTTCTATACTCTCCTTCCCATACCATAAGTAGGCATGCCATCCCCTTCGGATGTCATTCCCTTCCAGTGTTAAGATTTTTTTCTGTTCTAGTGTGGCCCACGCTTTGGTCCACAATAAAGTACACGCCTCATAATATGTCTGCAGGTCTGGCAGAGCCAGTCCCCCTCTACACTTTGCGTCCGTAAGGTTTTTGAATTTGATCCTGGGCTTTTTCCCATCCCATATAAAATTTAAAATATCCTTGTTCCACTTTCTGAAACACTGGCCTGTTTTTATTATTGGGATCATTTGAAATAGGAAAATCATTTGGGGCAACACATTCATTTTAATAGTCGAAATCTTTCCTAACAATGACAAATTTAGATGTTTCCAATTTGTAAGCTTTTTTTGTATTTTATCCCATATTTTTTCATAATTATCTTTGAATAGATGTCTGTTAGTTGAAGAAATTGTGATCCCTAGATATTTGACTTTTCGAACCGCTTCTATCCCCGAATCTTTGAATATTTTTTCCTTCCCTTCTTTATTTACATTTTTTGTTAATATTTTAGTTTTATTTTTGTTTATTTTTAGTCCCGCAAACCTTCCAAAATTTTCAATTTTAGAGACCCATTTTGTAATAGTCTGAGCTGGGTTTTCTATAATGCATACCACATCATCGGCGAACGCTAATGTTTTGTATTCCTCCAATCTAATTTTCAATCCTTTGAGTTCTTTATCTGATCTAAGGTCTTCTAATAAGTTTTCCAATATTAATATAAACAGCAGGGGAGACAGGGGACATCCCTGCCTTACGCCCCTTTGAATTTTCAGTTTGTCAGTGTGAAGGCCATTAACTATTACCTTTGCTGATTGATTGGCATATATCGCCTTTATGGCATTTAGCATGTGATATCCAATGTCTATTTCTTCTAAAGTTGTTATTAGAAAGTCCCAGTTCATATGGTCAAAAGCCTTTTCGGTATCAAGAAATAATAGCCCCAAATCCTTCTGTGGGTTCTTTTCATATAGCTCGATGATGTCTAATATTGTCCTTACATTATCTCTCATTTGTCTATTTGGTAAGAACCCTCTCTGGTCTTCCTTGATCCTTCCTGTTAAGAGTCTTTTGAATCTTTCCGCTAATATATTTGTAAAGATTTTATAATCATAATTCAGGAGGGAGATAGGACGGCAATTCCTTAGTCTCTCAGGTTCTGTACCTTCTTTGTGGATTATTGTAATATATGCCTCCTGCCAGCTACTTGGCATTCCCCCTCCTTTCATGATATTATTCATTATTTCTTTTAGGTGGCTGGTTAGCTCTTCTTTGAATGTCTTGTAATATTGGGCTGTAAGTCCATCTGGTCCCGGAGTTTTGTTGATGGCTAGTTTGTTTATTGCCCTTGTGACTTCTTCCTCTCCTATAGGTGTATTTATATATTCCCTTTCCAAATCGTTAATTTTTGGGATATTTTGGCCAGAGATGAAAGCAACTATGTCGTCTTTTGCTATCGTATCTTTCTTGTATAGTTCTTGGTAAAAAAATTTGAATTGTGCAGCAATGTCTTTTTCCTTTGTATAGTTTTTTCCTTCTTCTCTTATTTGTGTTATGACTCTTTGCTGCCTTCTCTTTGCTAATTTCTTGGCTAAATACTTCCCTGGTTTATTTGCTTTAACAAAGTGCTGTGCCTTAAGAAATTTTAAGTTTTTAGCCATCCTCTCTATCTGCACTGAACTTATTTCCTTTCTTAATATCTCTATCTCTAGTTGTATTTTTTTGCTTCCTGGTCTCTTTTTTAATAGGTCCTCTTTTTCTTTTATCCTTTCCTCCAGTTTGTTTTGTTCTTCTTTTCTTTCCCTATTTCTTAGAGCTCCTTGCTGGATAAAGTGGCCTCGCATTACCGCTTTTCCAGCTTCCCACACTGTTTCTAATTTTGTTCCTTTATCCAAGTTATTTTCAAAGTATTCTTGAAGTATTTTTTTATTGTTTTGTATGTCCTTTTCTGATCTTATTAATAAATCATTTAGTTTCCATCTCCTGGTGTATTGGCCTGTTTGCATTTCAATCTTTAGTGGGCAATGGTCTGTATGTATTCTTGGTAGTATTTTCACACTTTTTGTTTTTGTTACTAATGTATTGGATACCCAACACATGTCAATTCGAGACCATGTCTCATGTCTGTTTGAATAAAAGGTATAGTCTCTAGTTTCAGGATTCTTGATCCGCCAGATATCTTGTAATTGAAATTCCTGTTGCAATTGTAGGAAATTTAGTGGTAACCTCCCTCTTCTAGAGTCTCCCCCTCTTGTCTTTTTTTTTATTTGTCCATCTTGCAATCTGCCACCCCATTGAAGTCTCCTATTATTATTAAGTTATCTTGGAGATCTGTTATTTTCTTTTTTAAGAGCTTTACAAAGTCTGATTTGGCTCCGTTTGGGGCATAAATATTGCAAATAAGAATATTCAAGTCATTAATTTTGATTTTAACCCCTATTAGTCTACCATCCTCATCCTTGAAGGCTAACTCTGGGTTGAGGTTTTCTTTTATATATAATGCAACTCCTTTTTTCTTTTTAGAGGACGAAGAGTAATACAATTTCCCTAGCTGTTTATTTTCTAAATGTGCAGAGTGTTTTTGCTTTATGTGTGTCTCCTGTAACGCAATTATGTCACATTTCAGACTTTTGAATTGATTGTTTATTAGTCTCCTTTTGTTGGGGCTGTTTAGCCCGTTTACATTATTCGTTACGATCCTTAACGTCATCATCTAGCTTTAAATCAATTAAGTCCTTCACTGCCTTATTCTTGTAGCTTTGTTTGCCATAGTCTTCTGGGGATATTTGTCTAGCTCTTTTCTCTCCTTTGTTTCTTTTCTTCTGATGGAGGTTGACCATAAACTCATATTGGAGAATCTAGAAATTCATAGAGAGATGTTCTCAGGTTAAATAATGTTTGACATTGTCCTATCTCTCAGTGTTTTAAATTTTTATAATTTTATCCTGAATTTGGCCCTGCCCAGCGAAATCTTTTGTGTTTTAATGTCTGATTTTATATTGTTGTGTTGCTATTATATTGTTTTGCATTATGTATTTTATTTTTTGGTTTCATTATGTTCCCATGTTATATTGTTTGTAATGTACTGATGGGCATGGCCTCATGTAAGCCACACCGAGTCCCCTTGGGGGAGATGGAGCGGGGTATAAATAAAGCATTATTATTATTATTATTATTATTATTATTATTATTATTCCCATTTCCATAGGGTTACATCTCAGTAATTGCGGAGGTCTGACTGTTCTATTAATTTGGATAAAAATATGTTTAATGTCTCAGTTTCTTTGTCTCTTTTTTTGTTTTTACAGATGGTCAACAAACCCTTGAAACGATTTGAAGGACTACTTTGGAAGGTGCCCAACTTCCCACCCATCTTTTCATGCTGCTGTTTTGTGCCTTGTTTTTCTGTGGCAGTGTCTTGGAATAATGACAGATATCCTCTTACTGACACACCAGAGTTCAATACACCCTCATTCTCTAGGATTTTTTCTCCTCAGTATACTTCAACTGTTTCCAATTTTTATTGGGATCATAAAAGCAAGTAGGTTGCAACAGAATGTTCAATTGCCCTGCTTGACAAAGTCAGACTTTGGACTTATTTACATGTCAGCACCATGAAACTTTTCCATGAAATGCAGACTTTCTTGATCTTTGCCTCATATCTTATTTATATAAGCAGGATTAGGGTCTTTGAAGATATAAAAGGGGATAGAAGAAATCCAAGGCATTTTTACAAAGCATCTTTGATTAGAAGGCATGTAGAAAGCCATCTCGGCAAGAGATCTACAGGGCATGATGGGACTGGGCAAATCTGTAGTTGCAGCACCATGGAAAGCTCCAAGCAAATACTGTTTGCATCTGCATAAAAAAGAATGGAGGAAGAAGAATATAGAGTCATCATGAAGACTTCTGGCTTACTTTAGCATAAACTTTTGTAGATTTCAGTTCACTTTTTCAGATGCATTGATGGAAAACAATACTCAAGCTGTCGATATTTAAGCACACTCAAATAGCTGTGGAAGTGGCATCCAAATGTAATGGCATCAGGAAGATACAAATTGTGACACTGACCACAAGCATTTAAAGGCTTGTATGGAGTGATTACTTGTCTGTAAGAAAGCAGACCTCTTAAGCTTTCTATGCCTTCCCAGGTACCAGCCCTTTCTTGGAGAGTAGGGCAAGGTCTTAAAGTGATAAAGACTTTGTTTTTGGTTCTAGCACCCCTCATTCTCTTTGGCCTATTATAATTGTATGCCTTCAAGTCATTTCTGACTTAATGGTGACACTAAACCAGATTTATCCCAGGTTTACCTCAAACTACACTGGTTCCCATTTTCTCTTTAATCACTGTCAGTTCTGCTAAGCTGAGATGGTGATGGATATTCCTTCTGTGGAGGTCAAAGCATCAGAGCTGGAAGGATCTGCAAAGGCCATCTAGCCCAAGTCCATGCCATGCAGAAATATACAACTAAAACACTCCTGAAAGATGTCAATCCAGCCTCTGTTTAAAGACCTCCAAAGAAGGAGAGTTTAATAATAATAATAATAATAATAATCATCATCATCATCATCATCATCTTTATTTATACCCCGCTACCATCTCCCCAACAGGGACTCGGGGCAGCTTACATGAGGCTAAGCCCAATCAACAAATTGCAGCAAAATAAAACCAAAAACGCATGCAACAAACAACATCATAATTACATGAAACATATGAATACATTAACGATATAAGATTACAAATAAGCACAGTCACAGTGACAATGGGCAGCTACATGTGCGATAAAAAGGTTAAAAACTAATTAACACCCTCAGCTCATTCCACAGCTCTTACCATTGGGACATTATAATTCCATGGATCAGTAAAAACTGTACAAATTTTCTTCTCGTCTTAATTCTAATGTCCCTTCTACACTGCCATATAATCCAGATTATCAAAGCAGATAATCCACATTATCTTCTTTGAACTGGATTATATAAGTCTACCCTGCCATATAATCCAGTTCAAAGCAGATAATCTGGATTTTATATGGCAGTGTAGAAGGGGCCTAAAATGGCTAAACGTGAAATACAGATTTCAAGAAACAGTTTCAAAACTTGCAGCTATAAGGAGAAAATAACTTCATATAATGTTTAGCTCATTGTTCAGTGATGCTTCTTGCTACTTGCTATAATTCAGTACGCAAACATTAGTTGCTGAAGCTGAATTATTTCTTCTTTTTTTAGAGTTCACGTTTCTTTGGGTGGAAACCGTATTGGGTAGTACTGGAACACGGAGTCCTCTCGTGGTACCAAAAACAGTAAGTGTGAAATTGAATCTCACTCCAGAGACTAGAATATCAATGACTATAATGATTAAACTACCTGTTCACCCTTTTATTTGTTTTTTTGGAAGGGCTGATATTGGCAACAGTAATCGCCGCCAAGGATGCAAACACCTAACACAAGCCATTTGCACAGTAAGCAAACATAGAAATATTGGTTATATGGGGAAGCAAAAACAATGTTGTGTTTTCAAGTTTAAATGTGGATTCCTTGATTTAAGTGCACACATTACTTACCTGAAGCAAAATGATTTCTTTGCTGGGTTGTTGTAGGTTTTTTCGGGCTATATGGCCATGTTCTAGAGCAGTGGTTCTCAACCTGGGGTCCCCAGATGTTTTTGGCCTACAATTCCCAGAAATCCCAGCCAGTTTACCAGTTGTTAGAATTTCTGGGAGTTGAAGGCCAAAAACATCTGGGGACCCCAGGTTGAGAACCACTGTTCTAGAGGCATTTTCTCTAGAACATGGCCATATAGCCCGAAAAAACCTACAACAACCCAGTGATTCCGGCCATGAAAGCCTTCGACAATACATTGATTTCTTTGCCCTTGCATGTTATGTATTGGCAGCCCATATCAGTGGACTCCACATCCAGATTCATTTACTATACAATGGGTGGAACATCCATGAATTTTGGTATCTACAGAGGTCCAATGACCCACTGTTTTCTGATTATTTGTGAGCCACCTGAAATTTTATAAGAAATGGTGCAACATATTTTGTAATGTGGTAGAACCATGGGACCTTATAGATGGTGATAGACCACAACTTCCACTTTCCTCATAGTTATTAATGATCCTTCCTTTACAATTTATCCTTTACAATCACACATTGAATACTACACTCTGTAGTTTTCTAAAGATCCTGTTCATACTTAAAACACATTTTGATGCATAATGCACATTTCAGCTTTAAATTAAACAATGGCCAAATCACATTTCTAGTTTCAATCAATTGTAAGTCAACCAAGTTCTATTATATCTATTGATATAATAGAACTATTTTTGTTGGAACTACAAGTTGGCTTCATACCATTGTTTATACGTAGGGATCTAAGAATTCTTAATCAGATATATCCTGGAATATTGTTGCATGATGAAACAAAGGGTTGAACATGAATAGAGACATTATAAATGGCGCAGTAAAATGTCAACTATGAACTTTTTGTGTGCATTAAATGCTGTGGCCTGTACAGTATGCAAAATTAAGCATGTTATTTTGGTGATACTGTTACTTGGGTTTCTTGAGGTGCCTTTGCAGTTTAGAACAGATCTTTGGAAAATATATCTCCTAGATGACATTAAAATATCATTTTCTCTCTCTCTCTTTGTTCCAGAGAGGATATGGATATATGGATAAGACATTACACTTTAAGTGAGAAATAAAATAACTCTATTTTGGCTTTACAAAATCTGTTTTACTGTGAAGTTTTGTCACTTCCTCTCTACTGAACAGTAACAATTCAACACAAGCACAAGATTGCTTCATTTACAAATGTACTGTATATGAATCAATCACATTACAAGATATGAGTGATATGCACATAAGTATTTAATACAAGCATAATAAAATACACTGCAAAAACTATGTAGTGGCAGTAATGTTAACAGAATCCAGACCAATTATGAATCCTGAAAATAAGATAAACTTAAATCATTCACTTTTGAAAGTTTGATTTGTATGCAGTTCTGTTCAACAGACGAACCTCCTTGACTCTGTTTTCTATTGAAGGTTAAAGGTTCAGATGGCTGTCTCTTTTCTGTCAAGTGCTTTGATAATACAGTTCACAGTTTTAAAGTTCCCAGGACGAATCAGCAACAAGCGAGAGAGGTGACTATCACTCCTAGTCGATTTAAACGTGTGAATTGGAGTTTGGAATTGAAATGGCTAAACAGGTGACATTTCCTAGGGCTGAAGTTGATATGCCAGAAGAAAATAGTTTAAGCATTTCCACATTGAACAACAACAACAATTTTTTTTTATCCCAGACAATTTGAGAAAATAACTAATTTACTCATCTCATATTGTCTCTAACTTTTCCTTCACATATTCTTAACTTCCTTGTAATTTCCTCCCTAAGTCCTTTGGTAGAAGATTGTGGAAACCTAACATGAAATATATTGCATGGCAGCATATGCGATCAAAGCATGCTTTCTAAAAAATAGCTCTAAGGAATTATAAGAACAAAAGAAGAAAACATTTCATGCTTGATTATAATCATTTGTATATTGTTGATGTCCCATAAAGATTAATTAAGAAGTGCCTTATGATCTGCTTATCTCATGCCCTGTTGCTTAAAGAAACTTTTCTTGAGATCCATTTTTAATTCAACCATTACTAGCTAACTTTCTACACTCATTCTTAGTTGATGGTAACCACCAGGATTCATCCTCTGATGCCAGAAAGTAAATCAGAATCTTTTGATTGATCTCTAAGCAATCTGTGGTAGATTGACAAGGGTCTCAAGTTCCCAGTTGTTGATGGTTCTTAGGATGCAGTAGATAATTACTTGGCCTGGGCAATGCATGGTTCCAAGTGGTTCTAAAGTACTTACAAAACTAAAGTTCTGATGGTAAAAATTTCAAAACTCTCAAAATTTCATTATAAATGGCAGTTCCTAATTGGTTCTGTCATAAAAATCGCCAATAATGAAATAAATAAATTTTGAAAGTTTTGTTAGACTTCTGAAATTTTTACCACCAGAACTTTTGTTTTGTAAGTACTTTAGAACTATTTAGAACCATGGATTGCCCAGGCCTAATAATTACCATATATACTTCAGTATAAGGCCAAGTTTTTCAGCCCTTTTTTAAGGCTGAAAAAGCCCCTTCGGTTATACTTGAGTCAAAGCTATCTATTATTTTACTCTGTTATTGTTATTATATTTATTACATTTATTATTTTATTCTATTATTATTATTATTATTACATTTACATTATTGTACTCTATTATTATTTTTATTACATTTGTTACTTTATTCTGTTTATTGTTATTATTACATGTATTATTTTACTCTATTTATTATTATTACGTGTATTATTTTACTCTTACTATTGCATTTATTATTTTACTATTTTTATTGTTATCATTACCTTTATTATTTAACTCTATTATTATTACATTTATTATTTTACTCTATTTTTGTTGTTGTTATTATATTTACTTAATTTTGCTCTATTATTTTCATTACATTTATTATGGTACTCTATTACTACTGTTATTACATTTCCATTATTTTACTCTATTATTATTTTTATTACATTTATTATTTTACTCTATTATTATTGGAAGAATACATAAGCACATTTACATTGAAGGTTAGAATAATGGTTTGATCAGAGTTGGACAGTCTTATCTTAATTTACAGTTTTATGTAAATATTCAAAAACATTTAAGCTACTGATATCTCAATTAATGTAATTTTATTGGTGTCTATTTTCATTTTGAAATTTTCCAGTAGCTGTTTCATTTACCACCCTCAGGTTATACTTGAGTCAATACGGTTTCCCAGTTTTCTGTGATAAAATTAGTTGCCTCGGCTTATATTCGGGTCAGCTTATACTCGAGTATATATGGTACCGCCATCATAAATTGATGTTTCTTGGAATTATTGCTAGAAAACAAATCAAAACAATAGATTTAGCAATCCTGCTATATAGATTAGTGTGTAATTGATGTTAAATGTCAACAGAAAGCCTGCCTGAGTCTTATGAGATTTGGGAGAGGACTTCCTTTCCATCCCGTCAGACTCTCAGGCTCATTTGGTAAGAACACAGAAGAGAGACAAAGGACATTCAGCTTGTCTCTCTCTGTTGCCTTTTCACTGACAGGTAAAGGCCTTTTTGTTTAAATGTGTCTTCAGTCTTGACTGAACTACGTGTGCTGTTTTAATATGTATTGTGTATTTTTAAGTGTTTAAATTTTAACATTTTAAAGATAGTATTTTAATTGAATATACCACTTAATGCTTTTTTAAAAAGTTTTCAATTGCACATTGTGTTTCAGCTGCTCTGTTTTGATTTGTACTGTCAGCTGCTTTGCATCCTATTCAGTAGAAAAATGAGATATAAATAAATTAAATAAACAAATGGTAGCAACGCTATATTTTTGGTCTCTTTCCTTTTCTAGAACTGGATACAGGCAATAGAAGACCATTCGGCATACAGCACACACTACTGTAGTCAAGAACAACTGAGTGACGATGAGGAAGAAGATGATACAATATCAGTTGTTGAGTTACAGGACTCACTAAAAGTAAGAAGCTTCCATTTGTCAGAGCCTAAGGGTAGAAATCACATGACTCTCCAGATACTATTGAAGTAAAACTCTTAGAAGTGCTAATCAGCATAGCAGTGGTGAAAAATACTGGGAATTGTGATCCGATACTATTCGGAAGGAGCCCCCGGTGGCGCAGTGGGTTAAAGCACTGAGCTGCTGAGCTTGTTGATCGAAAGGTCGCAGGTTCGATTCCGGGGAGCGGCGTGAGCTTCCGCTGTCAGCCCTAGCTTCTGCCAACCTAGCAGTTCGAAAACATGCAAATGTGAGTAGATCAATAGGTACCGCTCCGGCGGGAAGGTAACGGCGCTCCATGCAGTCATGCTGGCCACATGACCTTGGAGGTGTCTATGGACAACGCTGGCTCTTCGGCTTAGAAATGGAGATGAGCACCACAACCCAGAGTCAGACATGACTGGACTTAATGTCAGGGGACTACCTTTACCTTTACCTTTACCTACCATTCGGAAGGCCACACAGTTCCCAGCCCCTATTTATATTCATTGGGATGCAATGCTAAAACAGGTAATGCGTACTCACACACCATCTCAAAACTGTGGCTTAGAACTTTCATTTGTTTTCAAACAAACCATGGTGGCTTGGAAGCACAAATAAGCCATAATTTGATTAAACCAGCCATGTTTAATGTTCCTCCAAATTTTTGTGATGATGCAACATCTTTTTAATGTCAGTAGATAAATATATTCATGTGTGTATTAGCTACTCATAATCCTCCGTACATAGCTCTAGAATGTGAGCTATAACTTCTAAGTATCCTCTCCAACAGAAATACAGGAAGACATTTCTCAATATGTTGTCGAAGGCTTTCATGGCCGGAATCATTAGTTTGCTGTGAGTTTTCCAGACTGTATGGCCATGTTCTAGAAGCATTCTGTCCTGACGTTTATTATTATTTATTTATAGCATTTATTTGTTATTTATTTAGAGCAGGCATCCTCAGGGGTTGTGAGGTTTATTGGAAACTAGGCAATTTTGGTTTATATATCTGTGAATGTTAGAACTCTTGTCTGTTTGAGGCAGGTGTGAATGTTGCAGCTTTAATATAGTTTTTATAGAACTTCCAAAAACATTTTTGCATTTCTGTGTCCTTTGAATGAACATTTTTCCTGTTTAGAAAAATATTAAGGGACATAGATAAACTGTATTGCTGCTTTTGTAAGCTTCTAGAACTGGTTACTGGGGAGACACAGCTGAATCCAATCCCACATTTGTTTTGAACTGGCTTATATGGTTCTGGCCCAACTTACCTGTCTGAACGTATCTCCCCTTAGGAACCATCGAGGACTTTAAGATCGTCTGGGGAGGCCCTGCTCTCGGTTCCGCCTTCGTCACAAGTACATTTGGCGGGGACGAGAGACAGGGCCTTCTCAGTGGTGGCCCCTCAGCTATGGAACACCCACCCTAGGGAGATCAGATCTGCTCCCTCCCTCTTAACGTTTCAGAGGCAAGTTAAAACATGGCTGTTTGAACAATCGTTTACAAATGCAGAGTAGCTAATATAGGAAATTGAATGATTTGACAATGGAACTGGACAATGCTTGATAATAATGCGATGCTAATGATGTTGTTTTTATTGCTTTTGTGGTGTTTTATACTCTTAATGTTTTAATCTATACTATGTTTTATGTGTACTGATTTGTTGGCAACCACCTTGAGTTGCCGATTGGCTGAGAAAGGCAGTATACAAATACAGTAAATAAATAAATAAAATAAATATGGCAGTGTGGACTCAGATAACCCAGTTCTAAGCAGATATTGTGGATTATCTGCCTTCATATTCTGGGTTATATGGCTGTATGTTGTATTCTGAATGGTCTTTGTCAAGTAATGTGATAGCCACTGTCTGTTCTTTGTACATTTCGTCTCGTCCCTCTGCCCCCAAATATATATCTGCAGCTTGAGGAAATCAGAAGACTCTTACTTCTTGGGAGGAGAGCAATGTCCAATCTCGATAAAATAGTAAAGAGTAGAGACATCACACTGGCAACAAAGATCTGCATAGTCAAAGCCATGGTATTCCCTGTAGTAACCTACGGATGTGAGAGCTGGACCTTAGGGAAGGCTGAGCGAAGGAAGATAGATGCTTTTGAACTGTGGTGTTGGAGGAAAGTTCTGAGAGTGCCTTGGACTGCGAGAAGATCCAACCAGTCCATCCTCCAGGAAATAAAGCCCGACTGCTCATTGGAGGGAAGGATACTAGAGACAAAGTTGAAGTACTTTGGCCACATCATGAGGAGACAAAAGCCTAGAGAAGACAATTATGCTGGGGAAAGTGGAAGGCAAAAGGAAGAGGGGCCGACCAAGGGCAAGATGGATGGATGGCATCCTTGAAGTGACTGGACTGACCTTGAGGGAGCTGGGGGTGGTAACGGCCGACAGGGAACTCTGGCGTGGGCTGGTCCATGAGGTCACGAAGAGTCGGAGACGACTGAACGAATGAACAACAACAAATGGCTGTATGGAAGGGCCCAAAGTTCTTATGAAACTCGTGTTTCTTTAGATGTTCTTTGGTTAACAGTACAAAAGCATGAACTTTTCTGTCCCGAACCAAACAAACCATCATTTGCAAAGTTCAAATCATTTTAACTTAACTCAATTAATTTAATGAGTTTCCGGGATTTTGAAGAACAAGAGCAACATCGGGCCCTTCTACACAATCATATAACCCAGAATATCATGGCAGAAAATCCCACAATATCTGCTTCGAACGGGGTTATGAGACCACACTGCCATATATTCCAGTTCAAAGCAGATATTGTGGTATTTCCTACCTTGCTATTCTGGGTTATATGGCTGAGTGGAAGGGCCCTGGGTATATACAGCCAGTGAATAAAGTTTGACAGCTGCTATTTGACTTTTTTTTTTACATTTAGCCAGTTACTTTTTACATTTATCAGAAAAGAAAGGTGGAAATTATGCTTCAGTGTTTTACTGCTTCTGACCAGGAGAGGGAGCTCATTTGCTTCATTAGAATGTCTTCTATCTTGAGTCAGGTTAAAGACTTTAAAAAGAACCCTACATGTATTAGCAAGCTTATCCAATGTTAGAATATTACCTACCAACACCTGTTGTATTCTGAATGGTCTTTGTCAAGTAATGTGATAGCCACTGTCTGTTCTTTGTACATTTCGTCTCGTCCCTCTGCCCCCAAATATATATCTGCAGCTTGAGATAGCAGTTCACACATTCAAAATTGTTGCTGTTGTTATTAACTTTATTTGTTACCTGCCTCTCCTAACAGCTTTATGCGGAGTACAACAGAGTCAAAACATATGAATATAAAATGCATACAGAATTAAAACATACACCAATCACCTTATTTAAAATCAACATATAACAGTAATGGAATGTAAACTCAAAACTCGTGATTCAGAGTTGACTAGTTGGCTTGCCAGAAGTAATAGGTCTTTAATTCTGTTTTAAATTCTGACAGCTCATTTCGCTGTTGGATCTCTTTCGGCAGGTCATTCCACAGTTGTGAGGCTCTGATCCATGAAAATTTATGCCATAATTATTTCTTTCCTTTTAAAGATGACACAGTTCTTTATTTCTTTTGCTGCATATAAATCAATATAGCTACTGTAATGAGAATGTTTTAAAAAGCTATATCGGAGGGCTTTTTGTGTGTCAGGAGTGACTTGAGAAACTGCAAGTCGCTTTCTGGTGTGAGAGAATTGGCCGTATGCAAGGATGTTGCCCAGGGGAAGTCTGGTGGTTTGATGTTTTACCATCCTTGTGGGAGGCTTCTCTCATGTCCTCGCATGGGATGGAGCTGATGGAGGGAGCTCGACCTACTCTTCCTGGATTCGAATCGCTGATCTGTTGGTCAGCAGTCCTGCTGGCACGAGGGTTTAACCCATTGCATCACCGGGGGCTCCTATGAGAGTGCAGAACTAGGATTCTGAAAGATCAGAAAGTTCAAATTCTCAGTAGGAAAACCTGCTTTTGGCAAGGCACACTTAAGAGAGACAGGCAGTGGTGTTAAACTGCCTCTGAATAAACCTTTCCAAGATAGGCTGGGAATAATTAAAAGTTGACTTCAGGGTGTGTAACAGTAACAAGACTTAATGAAAACTGACTATAGCAAGGCATATAGCATACCAAAGAAGGATACAAAGATAGTAGACATTAAGATAAATAAGCAAGTGTAAGCAAATACTATGTTGTAATAGCAAAAGCAGCATCCCAAAGCAAAGGAAGTTGTAATTCAAGGGCAAGCTGCCTTTCTGTGTGTCCCGTAGTAAGGGACTATGGGAACTGCTGGATTGCAATTCCCAGCATGTTTCACCATTGTCTGTATTAGATAAGACTAATGGGAATCAATATTCAGTAACACCTAAAAGGCTGCATAATTCCCTGGTCTAATACAGGGGTCCCAAGACACCCCTTGTTGCTTTAAACCTAGGAATAAATAAATCAGTTCTTTAAAAATAGATTCTAAGAAATGCTTTATAATGATGTATATTGCTTTGTAAAATCAAATGGAAAATCTGGGAGGGAACCTGTAGAGTGGATTGGATATAGCAAGAAGAAAATGAGGATTTTAAAACATGGAAAAGGTTTATCCATATTTCCTTTCCCCAATTCCTTTATGCCAGTTTTTTTTTCTCCTGTGAGCTCAGCCAAACTTAACATACTAACAAAGGTTACCATATGTTTTTACTTGAAACCGGGAGTACTTTGTCTTCTTTTTACTAGTGAAAAAAACCCAACATGTAATTGATGTAAGAGCACCGCAGTTCTCATTCCAGAATTACAATGAGGGCAAGTTACATTGAGCCCGGGGCAAGGCTTCTGAGGTCAAAACAAAACAACCTGTGTGACTTGACAGGATGGAGAAAACTAGGCCATTTGACACCTCGTTTTCTCCTTCCTGTCAAGTCACACGGGTTTTTGCTTTTGATTGAGTCAGCAACGAATTGTTGTATATACTAAGGTTACTTAAATGTTGGCAGGAGTTTGGCATACCTCCATTTGTTCTTACACTGCAAGACCCATCAGCTTTGGCCAGTATAGCCGATGGTAAGGAATTCTGGGAGCGCTACCCTAATAACATTTGAGGGGCCACACATTTATTTCACGGTGTGTTGGAAATGACAGCCTTCTTTAAGTCTTCTCTAGTAATGTTTATCTATTATCCTGTTGCTTATTGTTTATGTATATGTTCTAGTATGCAGATAACTTTACTCTATGGTTCCTGAGAAGTTATAAAAGGGGCTACAGACCACATGCTCTCTTCCTCTCTCTTCTTTTGACTATGTGACATGTTGATAGCTGGATTGTTGTAGGTTTTTCGAAGTATTCTCTTCTGACGTTTCATCTGTATCTATGGCAGGCATCCTCAGAGGTTTTGAGGCCAGGAGAGAATGCTTCTAGAACATGGCCACACAGCCCAAAAAACCTACAACAACCCAGTGATTCTGACCATGAAAGCCTTCGACAATATGTCAATAGTTGTTTTGTTATAAGAGAAATGTCCTGGCTAGATGGCACAGAGAAAAATCTCAAGATTATCTGAAACTGGATTGATAAATTTTGCAGCGGTGTATACAGAACACATGAAGGTTGTGAGTAAACCAAATATGTAATTTATATCCAAGTCTACTTTATTTTTGCCTCTTGAGTGCATGATATAACACAAGTTGTTTTATGAGAGAGTATGTATTTTTGGGCACTGAAAAACACTTCTGAAGCACTGCTGTTTTTATGCACTGGCAAATCTCTGTTTTCCTAACAGATCAGAGATAATAGGTTATTCAGTCTAACAATTGAAACCACTAGATTATGCTCTAAAGGGTTTTTGGCTCTTCTCTGAAAAGTCATGCTTTTCTTTAAAAGTTATGATCTCCAAGTGGTGTTTTCCAAAATGTTATGAATGCCATTTCCCAAATGTTATTAGACTAGATTATAACACTGAAGCAGAGCTGAATGAGGGCCATAGTGGTGGACTTGTGTTGCAGTGAATAAAATTGCACTGTAAAATGGTTCTTGGGTAATGGTTTCACTATTTCATCAGGTCTGGATTATCTACAAGATCTAACATGCATGAAGAGGCAATGAGTACTTAGCAGAGTTCAAGTAACAGAAGGGTGCACCAAATGAAATACATATATTCTAATATTTTTATATACGTTCTTTCATCATAGTTGACTTGTCTCCTGGACATTTGTGTGTGTGTATTGATGGCTTCTTTAACATAATGTCTATTTACACCTGACTGTCCCATTTCCATCCGTCTTTGAATGCTCTTCCCCTTTCTCTCTATTTTATTTGTTCCTTCTATACAATTTAAACCACTTTGTTTCCTGTTGTCGTCTTCTTCTTCCTTCCATTCCCTTTACCTTTCTTTATATCACACAGATCTTTTCAGAAACACAGCTATAGAATGTGTATATTTCTAAGCAGGGCCCGGTTTTATGCCCTGTTGTATCATTGCAGCTAGTTTCTCGTGTAACGATCCAGTATATTGTTTATTTCATGGCAACCTATGTGTAACACTGTTGAGTATATCTTGATTCACTAGTTCCTAAAAAATTCATGCTTTGAAATTGGAGTGTTGGCTGGGTCACCTCAGAAATATCGTTCTTGTCAAAACTTGCCTCTTTGGGAGAGAAGAGGTGGGATATAAATATAAATACAAATAGTAATCAACAACAACAACACTGGAAGACACTTTCTGCAGTAGAAAGCTTTAGCTCAGAAAGTAATATCATCTATTGTTTTTACTATCACTCCAAAATAGTATGCCTGCTTTTGAATAGCACAGAAACATTGAAAAGCCTTCATATATTATTATGCTAGAGTACTAGAAGGTGCAATCACATATTTCTATTGGCTTAACTTTCTTGGCACTAAGTTTATTATGATGCAAGTCCTCTTAAATAAGAATTTGTCTATAGCTAGAAAACCCTACAAAATAAATAACGAATCATAAAAATGTGACTTTTTGCACTGTATACAAAATAGCTTTTTTTAAAAAAAACAAAAAACTAAAATGCATCATTTTTGTTTCAGATTGCGCAGTCATGCCAACAAAGGCTAGATAAAGAAATTTCTGGTTTCCTCTCTGTGATTAAGTCACATGACACAACTGAAGGTAATTTCTTAAAATCAGCATGGAACTATGGCTGCTTTGAAATATTGTATTCAAGTAGATTAAATTAATAAACAAGTCTATTTTTTGGTTGCTGTGAGTTTTCCGGGCTGTATGACCATGTTCCAGAAGCATTCTCTCCTGACATTTCACCCACATCTATGGCAGGCATCCTCAGGAGTTGTGAGGTCTATTGAAAACTGGGCAAGTGGGAGTTATATATCTGTGGAATGTCCAGGGTGGGAAAAAGAACTCTTGTCTGTTTGAGGCAGGTGTGAATATTACAATTGGCCATTTTGATTAGCATTAAATTGCCTTGCAGCTTCAAAGCCTGGCTGAATGCTGCCTGGGGGAATCCTTTGTTAGGAGGTGTTAGCTGGCCCTGATTGTTTCATGTCAGGAATTCCCCTGTTTGAGTGTTGCTCTTTATTTAGTGTCTTAATTTTAGAGTTTTTTTTAATACCGGTAGTCAGATTTTGTTTATTTTCATGGTTTCTTCCTTTCTGTTGAAATTGTCCACATGCTTATGGATTCTATTCTTCAGTAATTTCCCACTATATGTACATGCATTGCTGTTTTGCCCAAAGTTGTCCATATAGCTTTCTTAGTTTGCCAAGCTCATTCTCAGTGGACTTTTCATTCTTCTGCATCCCAGTTGATATATATATAGTGCAACCAATACATTTGATTGCAATTTAACTTTGGGGAAAATCTAAATTAAATGCCACTAATTTGAGACAAATATGGGAAAAGGGCAGCATTGACAACATTAGCATTAATGTGTAAACATACTGGCTATGTGTAATTGCAGCGGTTCTTTTAGGGAAGCAAAATTGACAAGTATTTCATAAACTATGAAATGTTATTGATTAAACTATGTAACAAAATTTGGAAAAAATATGTTCCTGGTTTGAAAGTGTTATTTCCTGGTTAATTGCACAGTACTTACTTTGAAGTAGTTATTCTCCAGAAACTTTGGGGGTTTTTTTGTTTTTTTGTTTTTTTGGCTGCTACAGAATATGTTGAATTGGTTGAGACTCTGTGAGATATTCATCTTATACATGGAGCTGACCTGGCTAAATCAGAAATGTATTTTTCTCATGTCACAGGTATCCTTTAGCAGATGAAATGTTTGTATTTTACATTTGTGAAATAGTTTACCTATTTACTGTTAGGCAGTTGATCTATTTGCTTGTATGTACAGTGTACCATGGGGATATGTAAGTGAGTTCCACTGATTACAGATTGTTGTATCCTGTGTATACAACGGTGGTATGATGCACCGAAGCTTTTCCAATGCATATTGCTTCCATTTAATAATATGGAGTGCAACCATCCACATATTGCGGCATCCACAAAGCATATCTCCCTCGAGGAGATAGGGCAGAATATAAATAAAGTGTTGTTACTGTTGTTGTTGTTATTTAAAACACAACAAGATTAGTACACATCAAACAAGGTCTCTCTGCTGGCTGTTGTATTGGATCATACGTCAGACACTTCCCAAGTATCTAGGACTGTGTGATGTATCAGTGAATAATGCGTGCAGATCTGAGTAGGGTGGTCTTTTGCAGCTGACTGATGGTAAGTTTGTCAGTGCCGATTGTGTTTAAGTGCAGGCCAAGGTCTTTAGGCACTGCACCCAGTGTGCTGATCACCACTGAGACCACCTTGACTGGCTTGTGCCATAGTCTTTGCAGTTTGATCTTTAAATCCTTGTATCGTGTCAGCTTTTCCAGTTGTTTCTCTTCAATCCTGCTGTTGCCTGGGATTGCAACATCAACGATCCATACTTAGTTTTTTAACACGATTGTGAGGTCAGGAGTATTGTGCTCCAAAACTCTGTCAGTCTGAATTTGGAAGTCCCAAAGTAGTTTGACGTATTCATTTTCTGTAACTTTTTCAGGCTTATGATCCTTCCAGCTCTTTGTCACAGGCAGATGGTATTTGTGGCACAAGTTCCAATGAATCATCTGATCTTTAAATTCTCATGTTGTTGTTGTTGTTGTTGTTGTTGTTGTTGTTGTTGTTGTTGTTGGATCTAAACCACCAGGCATTGGACAGGCCTTCTGTACTTCAAATAATAAGTTGGAGGAAAATAGCAACACATAAGTATTTTTTACTTTTTTTAAAGGAGTTCCAGCTTCATTTCTCAAGAAAGCTGAAGAAGTATCTGAAACGTCAAGAGAAACTTGTGAAGCCCTTAGTAACTGCCTCAAGCTCTTCACTAAACAAGAAGGGGTAGGTATTCTTACATGGCTTATTTACAGGCAGTCAAAACAGTGAACATAATTGACACTGTTTTATTCATATCCTTTGGTGAGCTCAATTATATTTTTAAAATTCTATATTTATTTTAAAGCTGCATCTGTGTGAATCTTTATAAGCTACCCTGAGTCCTGGAGAAAAAGCAGGAAATGAGTAGTATGGTTGTCTTTCTGTCTGTTTAAAATGAATGATTCCAGAGGATGAATTCCTTTCCTTAGCTCATGGTTGAGTAGAGATTATTCATTACTGGCTTGAATGAGTAATAATTATAAGAATTCAAACAGTATATTTAATCTTGCGTGAATATACAGCTTGGGAAAACATCCGAATTGTTTGAACCAATAGGAATTCAATTTTAACAATAGGATCTTAATGGTGTATGAGGCAAGGTTAGGAAAAAAACTCAAAATATTTTGAAGTATTTTTCAAGGCACTCTTTTACTCAAAACAGATGCATTATTATAGAATGTTAAACTATGTTGCATGAGTTGCTAAGGCTTCAGAAGTTATTGCAATGGAAATAATTATGTTGTAAATTAATCATTGACCATTCTTTTAGTAAGAAGGCTCTATTCAGCTTTTTGTTCAGCTTTCGAGGGGTGGGAAGATTTCCTTCAGCAACTCGTATTTGCAAATCAGGAAATTTGCAAAAAAAAAAGAGTTGCTGACTGTGTTGACTTGCACAGTGCTGACTGTGACTCGCGACACCAGCTACATGACAGAGCAATCTACACAGTAAACCTATTGTATAACCTGAAAAATTAATCAAAACTAATGAAAATCTGAGTTTGTGTCTTATGAGCATAACTTGTTATATTAATGTATGAGGGGGAGGGGATGAATATGACTAATTTTAGCACACTGCTTAGGAAATGTATCTGCAACTGTTTAACATTTTAGATAGGCATGCAGTCCAAATCATACTCTTTGCCAAATTGATATTTGAAATATGTGAAGAGTGATATATGTGGATAAATTTCTCATTTTAGTCATGAGAAAAGTAGTATACAGAGAAGTTTAACATTTTTTACAGATTTAGATCATGGACTTGTAGGATAGGCAGTTAATTTTATGTATTTTTGTTGGGCGTAGTAGAATAGTTTAGGTGCCTGTGTGTAGTGTTAGTCATTTGCAGTTGAGCTATTTTATTGTTGTTTTGTCTTTAGTTTATAGTAGAGATAGATAGAGTGTAGCACAATTCAAAGTGCTGGCTTTAGCGTATAAAGCCCTAAACAGTTCTGGCCCGGCTTACCTGTACAAACGTATCTCCCCCCCATAAACCATATTGGAGGTTAAGATTGTCCAGGCAGGCCCTGCTCTCGATCCCACCCCCCTTGAAGGCACAACTGGTGGGGACAAGAGACAGGGCCTTCTCGGTGGTGACCTCTCGACTATGGAACTCCCTCCCCAGAGAAACTCTGGAACTCGCTCCCTTCTGACCTTCAGGAAGAAAGTTAAATTCTGGTTGTTGGACCAAGTGTTTACATAATGATTCCCAGTGCAACAATGATATCTCAGTGCTATAATGAACAATGCAAATGACAATTGGAACGGTTTCTGGAATATGCTTTTGGACTGTGTGATTTTAAGTAATAGTTTTAAGTGATATGTTTTAATTATGTGAATTTAAAGTATATGTTGTTTTATTTTTATATGTACTCAAGGCATCCAATTGTACCTTTGCTGTGAGGCGCCCTGAGTCCCCTTTGGGGTAAATAGGGCAGTATATAAATATGGTAAATAAATAAATACAGCTTGCCCTCTGTATCCACGGATTTAATCACCCATACCTTAATAACTAAACCTAAACCAAACCTCTGCAAGTCTGGTGAACAGTTCACAACTACAAAATTATATGAAGAGGGACCCAGTTAACAGTCACACATTATAAAATTAATCTGTGAACAAGAGTTTTCTAGGAAACAACATTTATTTTCTTTTTAAATGCTAAGTTCTGTTTTATAATTTGAGTTGTGGGGATTTGTGGCTTTCATATACGGTGTGATGGTGAATCTACTCAGAGTTTACTCTGAACTTTCCTATTGCTCTCCATTGTGTTGGACTGTATTCTCAAAGCAGCTTTACAAGTTTCAGTAGCCCCTTTTAAGTTTGGACTAAAACTCAGGAGAGATTCACCATGCCATTGACTAGGAGTAGTCCAAGAAGTACTAAATTGTTAAAAGTATAATCTTGCTATGGATGCAAGTGACATGATGTCATTAAATTTTGTGCATGCATGAGGAAACATGAGGAGTTTATTACCCTCCTTGGGAAGCAATAGTCTTGTTATTCATTTGGTAATGAAGTACAGGTTTGGATTTTTATTCTTATTCTTTTGGTAACAAAATACAAGCTTGGTTTTTATTGGCTATCCTAAATCAGCTGGTGCAGTTATCTATCAACATGTCTTATAGGGAGTCTCATTCTGAAACCATGTTGTTCTATCTTGTTAAGGAAAGAAATCACAGAAATGTCATTGGGATGGATTTATGTCAACACTACCATTCACTTTTTTTGTTGCTCTTGTATACACCACCTATTTCCCAGGGAAACATTGGAAATGCCAACAAGTGCTCTGTAATGTTCAAGGGCAGAATTCTGTAAAATTTTAAGATTTGTACAGGCAGTCTCTGAGTTACAAACATTCAACTTACAAACAAGAACGGGGGTGAGACAACAAGAAGTGAAATCTACCCCTTGGAAGGGAAAATCACTCCTGAAAGAGTTATCATAGGGGAGAGGTGTTTCCATTGAAGCTTTATTGCCAAGTCAAATCTTTCACAATCCTATTATCACAGGGACAGAAAGTGAGGTGAAATCTTCTGAATAGACAATAGACAATAAAACAAACACCACAGGGGTGTTGACCCTTTCTTGTGTTATCCAAAGCTTATATATGTATATGGCTGGAGTTATGCTTAAAATATGTACCTGTTCCAACGTACATACAAATGTAATTTAAGAACAAACCTACAGAACCTATCTTGTTCAAAACCTGGGGGACTGCCTGTAGTTTGGTGAGGCACTAGATAGCAGAAGTGAACAGTAAAGTTCAGGTTTAGCTTGTGCCAGCAGATGTTGTCTATAGTTCTTCATGAAAATGTTATGTTCTACCCTGCTTTTTAGTTTGTATCTTCTTTATCTCACTTTGTTGGGTGTGGGTACCCCATTTCAGTTGCCAACATTTCAGTTACTAACTTCGACAACAGCATCCAATGGAGCCCCCGGTGGCGCAATGGGTTCAACCCTTGTGCAGGCAGGACTGAAAACTGACAGGTCGCAGGTTTGAAACTGGGGAGAGCGTAGATGAGTTTCCTCTATCGGCTCCAGCTCCTCATGCGGGGACATGAGAGAAGCCCCCCACAAGGATGATAAAACATCAAAACATCCGGACATCCCCTGGGTGATATCCTTGCAGGCAGACAATTCTCTCACAACAGAAGCGACTTGCAATTTCTTAAGCTGCTCCTGACACAAAAAAAAGCATTCAAGTTATGTTTAGTGGAAGCTTTGTGCCTGTACTTGAGGATAGCCAATGAACATTCATTCTTAATGGAGGGAGATGTGGACATATATAGACTATTACAGTTGAATTACACTGATAACTACTTTTAGTACATTTCTCAACTTTATTCAAGCAGCTGTTTCACACTTTTTAAAAGTCCTTTACACCCCAAGATTCCATTTTGCAGAGATTGTTCCTATGCGAATTTGGATCACCTCTCCCTGTGTTTCAGGTGCTTTGTATAGATGAGGTCCCATAACCAAAATGCCACAATAGAGAATATTTTATGGATATACTGTTACATTTTGGACCCCCAGGTGGCGCAGTGGGTTAAAGCGCAGAGCTGCTGAATTTGCTGACCAAAAGGTTGGCTGTTTGAATCTGGGGAGTAGGGTGAGCTCCCACAGTTAACCCCAACTTCTGCCAACCTATTTAGAAAATATGCAAATGTGTGTAGATCAATAGGTACCGCTTGGCGAGAAGATAATGGTGCTCCATGCAGTCATGTCAGCCATATGACCTTGGAGGTGTCTATGGACAACGCTGGCTCTTTGGCTTAGCAATTGAGATGAGCACCACCCCCATAGTTGGGCACGACTAGACTTAATGTCAAGGGGAAACCTTTGCTTTTACCTTTACTGTTACATTTCCTCTAAGCAGCTTAACATGGTCATCTCTGTTGTGGTAGTCTAAATGAAAGTATAATGCCTGTCCCAGGTCATTAGTGAATTTCATGATCAAATGGTGATTTGAACCCTGGGGAATTTTGCACAATTACAGCGCTATATTCTACCTAATATGTCATGGCAGCATTCTGTGAAGTCCTAGGATTTGTAGTTTCTTGTTACTACGTTTATTTATACCCCAGTTTTTCTCTCCACAATAGAGACTCAAACTGATTGGTGACACACTTAACATTTTTTGGCTTTGTAAATGGCAAACCCAACATTGCATTGGATGTTTCCCTGGCAGTTAAAATGAAGCCACAGCACCATAATTCAGTGGTGTGAAACCTCCTGTCAGCTGCACCACACATTTGCCTTCTGGCGGTGGAACGATTGCCCATTTTAGATTAATTGTTCTGTCTGCTCTCTAGAGAAGTATCAATCTCTTTTGGGCATCCTTTGCTATGGCTGGGTAGTCTCCAGTTTTAACACTTTTAAAAAGTTGATCATTCATTTATTTTAAAACACTTCTCCCACACTGAGACTCAGAGAGGCATTTTGTTCAGCGTGCTTCCCACTCCCTTCAGTTATCAAGTATGAATGGGGAAAAAGAGGGGAAAAGAATGGTGACTTGTTTTGTCTCTGTCTCTCATACTCAGCCAAAGGTGTTTACTGAAATCACTCTCAGACTCAACTTGTTTCTGAAGTCTTAAGTATATGGAGAAGTGATAGATTGCAGTTGTCAGAAGAATAGGGAGCTGTGTATATTACTGCCAAGATGGCCCTTGTATTAAAAATGGCAT